TGATATAGAATCTTATCCAATGTGATTAATTACAATAGAAATGCCTACATTAGCATAAGAATCATGCACATAAATTAGTATATTATATTATTTGATTATATTTGGAATAAATAACTAGATGCTAATATATTAGACTTGATCACACTAATAATCTCATCTAAATAGTGGAGAAGCTTATGGGAGTTGGAAGCCAAACTTTTAGATCAAAACCTTGCTTATTTGAAAGATTGGAGACAATGGACAAAGTTTCAAAAAATAGCCACTCTTGTCATAATTGAGCATTACATTCCATTTGCCTTACTTAGTACCTAAAAATTTAGATGCCCATCCTTCCTTAATCACCGTTCTTCTAAACAATCTTTGAGGTTACTAGCAAGCTTTGTAAACTAAGATTTATGTGAGTCTTTGTAATAGATGCCAACACCTCTTCCACTCTTCATAGTATCAGAACTTCTTCTTCAAAATCGCTTGCAAAATTCTGTTGTAATGCTAGAAAATCCTAATTTCTATTATAGGCCATACTAAAAACAAGAATATAGCCAAAAGAGGAAAGGTGGCACAGTTTGTGGAGGGATATGTGCCACACATTTAGTGGCTAGGATCACATGCAATGCACATATGAGTAGTTCACAAATCCTTCAAACTTGAGGTCTTTAGTTAAACAAAATATTTTCTAATGTTGAAATGTTATTGATCTTTGTAGGGCATATACATGAAAAGAAGAATTGGAGATCAATCTTGGAAATTGTTGCAAAGGCTTATATATATCTGTTGTAGGTTTGGAAGCTAATTGTAATTAAGTTAGATTTTTTTTTATTGTAAATTGATCATTAAATGTTGTGGCTTTATTCTTACATTGAATATAAGTACAATAAACACATGTTTGGAAGCTTGCAAGCAACAAAGGTCAAAATTAGTAATAGCATTTGCCTATTTAAATTTATGTTTATTATTAGATATTTTGATATGCCATTGATTATTAACCTTAAATATTTGGCTATATAATTCAAATTCTTAACTAATTAAGTGCATAACTTTGTTTCAAAGTTGTAATATGCCTATTGCCTCAAGTTTGTTTTAAGAGTCATACAATTGCATATAATCACATTATAAGGTCAACATATTAGCATTTGATTGACTCCTCACAAATGAATATAATTATACACATGTGATAGAACATTAGAATTGGTTTCATTTGAAAATAGAATACATATTCATTCTTTCTAGTCAAATACTGTAGAAAAAGCTTCTAATTGATAGTATATAATAAATCAATTTATTCCAATTTTAACAAGTTGGTCATGATTTGTAAGAAGTGAATGAAATATTTGAGTGATATTGATATTAGCTTAAATTTGACAATACAAAGTATAAGACAATATTTAAGTTTGACAACAAAGTGGACATATTCCACTGTTGTATTGTTTATATTACCATATATAAGTTTTGGTTTTTCAATGGTCTACATCAAACGAACCGTTCTGACCTATTTTGACACAACCTTCCATTTGAAACTTCTTTCTCGTCAAATTCTTCATCCTTGTCTAGTACTACAACATGGGATTTTTATCTTCTTCCCAATGCATCCACTATCTTATACTGCTCAAAAAGAAAGATAAAAAAATAATAATCAGTTCTATGCTTTGTCAAGTTATAGAGCTGTAAATACAACTTATAGAATACAACTTATAGAGGGAGGAATTGTATCTCATTGAGAATGGAGTAATCTAAGAAATATGTCCATCAAGTTGATAATCCACAAGAGAAAACAGGACAGAAATGGGAGACTTGTTTGATGATGGCAGCTTTACTGTACAGATTGGACGGACATTTCTCACACGTTACTTCGATTTTTAGACTATTATTCATATTATTCATATGAAGTAACTATTGTAAGTTCAACTACAAGCTTCTTCATTCGAGGATGTCATGTTAGAAACAGTTTACAATTTGTTGATCAGGCCAAAAGCATCATTGTCTCTGGACGGCTACCACAAGAGCTACTTCGTATGACTCGTACATATGATGAAATTGAGGCTATGATGCATTTTACCAACATCATTTTTGTACTCTAATCTGCATTGAAGAGTGACTACTACGTCGCTCATTTCCCTTCTCATACAAATATTTCTCCTTTGTTTACTCTTAAAGCAGATATCAGTTGTTTGACAATGAATAAATACAAGATAGTCCACCCAATACAACATTTCATTGCGTTC